ACACCACCCTCCGCCAGCCCCCCAGTTTCCTCCCTTACCACTCCGCGCCCCCTCGATGGGACCGGCCTTGGCCTCCGAGAGGACTCCCCAAGTTCCCCTCGGGCCAACCCTGAACCCCCTAAAAATTTAACAAAACATCCCTCTAAGAAGGTATATAATTTCCTCCTTCTTAGATCCCTCCCTGCTGCCGCTACGTGCCTTAGATCCCTCCCTGCTGCTGCTACGTGCCTTAGATCCCTCCCTGCTGCCGCTACGTGCATTCATATATATAGTACTAAGTGGATTTAAGACCCAACTACCAATTGACCAAGAAAACTATTTTAGTTGGCTACGCTGAGAGGCATTCCAAATACCTCCAACTAGATCCAGTGTGCTTCAGTTATGTCATCAGCCAAAAGCAGTGAGATCTCACTCTGAATCCTGCAGAGGATGCCCATTTTGTTCACTAGATCTCTTTCCTAGAATTAATGGAAGAAAAACCTCAAATTATTCTTGGGATTATCTGTTAATAGGGAAATTTCTTTTCTTCTCGAGGATGTTGTGTCTTTTGAGGAAGTGGCCGTGTATTTCTCCATGGAGGAGTGGTCTCAGCTGGACCCTGCCCAAAAAGCTCTCCACGGAGAAGTCATGCTGGAGAATTCCAGGAATCTGGCTTCTCTGGGTAAGAATCCTTGTCTGTGCTCAGAAACATAGAGAAGTCATGGGGTGGGGGTGGGGGTTTAGATGATATTTCTGATAAAAAACGTCATTTATTGATACTCTGCCTTTATTTTTTGTAAATAATAAAGCTAGTAGACGAACCCCAATATTCCTTCCTCTTGCTGTTTTCCCCACAACAAGAACCTTGTGACCTGGGTTGAGCTGAGGGAGACTGGCCCAAAGTCACCCAGCCAGCATTCATGACTAAGGCAGAACTAATACTCCCAGTCACCCAGTTTCTAGCCTGGTGCCTTGATCGTTTGACCAAACTGACTTTATGGAAGAAGGAAATTTATTGGAAGAAAAATTGGAAAACTGCCTTGTCTTCCTTTTTACATAAAGGAAATGTGGTTTTTTTTTTAAAAAAAGAAATGCTTTCTGCTCATAAAATACAAAATATTCATTTCCATGCCATAGAAGATATTAGCCAGAATCTGAAGGAGAGGCTCCATGCAGGGATGGTGTGGCCTCTCTTGAGCAAGGTCCTGCCTACCAGGGGTTCAGTATCCACTCCGGATCCTGGTCACTGGCTCCCTGATGGGTGTGAGGTGCTATAAGCAGGACTGGATTTAGCCCTGAGAGGGATGTTCCCTTCCTAGAGATGTGCCCACTTGTGTACAGAGTTTAACAGCCTAAGTTGAGGGTGGGGAGCAGAAATTCCCCTTGGCTTTGAAAGATTCTGCTCTGCAGACAAGTGGGGATGAGACTTTCATTGAAATTCGGGACCAGGTGGATATGTTGCTAACCCAGCATGATACAGTATTCAGTGCACTTAGGGAGTACGTGGCACCATGGAATAGTCCCAGGTCAAAGTTTAGATCAGGAAGAAAAGGTTTGATTGTTCCTCTATTCTTGCTACAGTTTTCATTTTTCTTTTTCAAGGCTTTAAAGGG